CCGGCACCGCGGAGCACAGCGCTCGGGGCGCCCGCTTCCTCCCGCCGCCCGGACTTGCAACTTGGGGAGCGTGCGGGCCCCAGACGGAAAACCTCGAAACCCGCGCTGGACTGGGATGGGTGGAGGGCTGGAGTCGGGGAGCCGGGCTGGAAACAAACTTGGACGCTCCGGCCGGCCGGGAAGGCTACAGGTTTCTTTGGAGAATTTCTGTCTTTTTAACCTGGAGTCTAGCGAGTGTGAGCCAAGTGTGAGTGCGTGCTTGTGTGTGTGTGTGTGTGTGTTTGTGTGTTGGGGAGGCCTTGCTGGGGAGTCTCTCTGGGCCAAGAGGTGGCCCGGAGATCTCCTCCCCTCCTAATGTCTCTGGCAGTTGCTTTACCTTCTGTGGCAGGGAATGGGGGAGTCCAGGAAGGCTGAAGGTGGATGAAAAGACAGTGCTAGACCTAGCTCAGCCTGCCCATTCATAGTTTGAGGCCTTGGAATATTTCTCTTACAAACACATCCCCTTGCGGAGAAACAGGGACAGGCAGTTACGTTCTTAGTAAAGCTCCTCAGCGGATAGACCATTTTTAGTAGAGTTTGTCACGCACACGATAAAAGTACCCGGATACTAGGGACAACCGCAGTATGCAGAGTTTTGGAAAACCTTGCGTGAAATGCCTTTTATAATTTGGTTTCGTTATCTTTGCACGTTTCAGAAGGAAAAAGAAAAAGATAATAACATACCAACACCTAGATTGTCCCTAAAGGATGTTTCGTGGCCCGACTTTTCCCTCCCGAGTGCTTCCACGTTTCAGAAAGTGGGCCCGTAGTGGACACAGCTGCTGAGATGACAGATCTCGGTGTTATCCTCCTCCTAGTCCCTCATCTCTGAATTCAGTGTTTCCAAGTCTTCTTGGGACCCCAAAATGTGTCCCCTTCTTCCTCATGCGTTCACCTTTGTCCACCATTTTCCTGCAGTATTACAGTCCCCTCCCTCCATCCTCAGTCTGGCAGCCAGAGTGATACAGGAGATATAGACCTAGGTATTTAAATAGGTAAACAGAACCCTGTCAGTCCACGTTGTGAGACTCTTCAATAACTTCTCCTTGCTATTGGCATGAAACCCAGGAGCGCTGGCCGCTGCCATCTCCAACCATCAGGCCATTCACGCCCGGCCCCTTTGGCCAAGCTCACCCTGAAGCTCCAGGCCTCTGTATCATAGACTCACATTTCTGCACACGCCCTTCAAAGACCTTCCCTGGCCCCCGGCCCTCAGTGTATCTTCTGTCTCACATCCCTTGCTCTGCAGTTCCACTGTCCATGTATTATTTTATTTATTACTATTATTATTATTATTGTTGTTGATTTTTTGAGACAGGGTCTTGCTATGTAGTTGAGTCTGACCTGGAACTCACTATGTAGCCCAGGCTGCTCTCAAACTCACAGCAGTCCTCCTGCCTCAGCCTCCCCAGTGCTGGGATTATAGGCGAGGGCCACCATGCCCGGCTCTGCTACTGTTTTAGATGGAAGAGAGGTGGTTCTTTACAGTGCAGAATCCAGAAGGAGCTAGGAATGGTGGTGTATGTCTGTAATCCCAGCACTTAGAAGGCTGAGGCAGG